ATGCCTCAGTTTTATTGATGACCTCTGAGACTGCTTTCAGCTCAAAATATATGATCTATGATCTTCGCAAAGTAACAAAAGGAGAAGTACTAGTTACTTGCAGGGAACAAACTACTGGTTTGACACTTCCCTCCTTTCAAAGACCTCTGCATGCAGGGCACCATACTCTTTGCTTCCAGGTGTCACCAAAGAACTTAGGTATATTTCCATCCTGTAGTGTGACTACTGAAATTAAAATTCTATGTCTCTCCACATCAGACTTTAGAAGTCTGGTATAAAGCTTAACAGAGGAATATGTTGTGGATATCTACATCCCTTCTGCTTCCTGAAAGGATCTACCTGTCCCTGTTACCTTACAATACTGCTCTGAGGAGACTTCAAAGCAGGTCCAAGTTCAGTTACAGAAAGAGAGAAATTTTCTAATGCCAAGAATTCTTCATGGTAGCAGTAGAATTTGGAAAATTGCAGCAGGTGATGCACGTAAAATGAGCCTGAGGTGAATGTATTTAGCCAGCAGAAACCTAGTTTTTGTATTAATAATTCAGTTCTTTTCAGAAATAATGGGAGAAGCATTAGAAAAGGTTATCATAACTATCATCCAATACATTTCTAAAATTATTCTATTACATTTTAAAGGGTATAATTATAAATGTTTTTAAGAGCAATTTACCGGAAAATTAAAGTTGCTTGGCTTAAAAAATTATTCCATCCCTCTGATGAGGGATGTGAATCCTCTCAATCTATGGTGGTCATTATTTGTTTACTATGGAGAATCAGGTCCACATGGGGGAAACATTGATCTGAGAATCAGCCTTTAGAAAGAGTTCCAAAAGCTTACTAGAGGGATGGGGTATGGGGGTGGGGAGGTAAGGAGGGAGAAGTACATTGAAAGTCAAAGACCTTCTGTAGATTTCATTATGGTTTTCTAGAGGATCACTAGCCTGCAAATGTCCTACAGGCCTGCTTAACTGACTTTAAGTCCATTTAAATTGAACTCTGGGTGGGTTAAGTCTTATCTAGCCAGGCTTTTGAGTGTTAATTCTATCTCTCAGTTTCATTTTTTCCCTTGGGTAGGCCTGCCCTAAAAGCCTTCAACCATCAGTCTGTATGTTGTAAACTGACTGCACTGTATATAGTCCTGTGAGGATAACTGTAGTGAAATAAAATATGTAGGCTTCTGGCATGCATATAATAATGAGATCCTGAAAAAGGGTTTTAACAGCAGTTATGTCACAATGCTCATAGCTCCCTGAAGTCACTGAAAGCCTTGTTAAATTAAAGATTCACTGTGGTTTTTCTGCTGCATTCCTGCTTCCCATGTTGCCTTCTCTCTCTCTCTTTTTTTTCCTAATTTCATTGTACTCTTAAGATGGGGCAGTATCACACCAGCCAACATTAACACCACCTAGAAAACTGAATAGTTTCAATACAATCATTAGTATTCTGTGCACTTTTGTGTGTATGGGGAGGAGAGGGGAGAGGTACAGAGGTAGGTACAGTTCTTTCAGATCAAAAAAAATTTTAACATTGGCTCTTCAAGCTTAGGAAATATGGTACACAGCCCACCCTCACTCATTCACAGAGGCTTAGGAATTTAACAACATTCAATTACTGTTCTCTACTTGAATCCATCCTTGGTATGTCCCATAAGGTCACCTCAATGTCATTAGGATTTAATTCCACATCCTTCTTGGATTCCAGATGTGGCCTGCCTCAAAATTTACTCTGGAAAAAAAACAACCCACAACAACAACAACAAAACTTCCTAATCACAAAGAATCCTGTCTCACCCAATGCCAAAATCTCCTCTCAAGGAAGCTAAAATGTTAATTACAATGAAGTGGTCGTGTTTGCTTTTGCTGTAGAGTTGTGAGTCTTTATGGTTTAAGTATTAAAAAGGCATAATCACCTAGTATGTAGGTTAATTTCTTTTCGATATTGTAATTAATGCAACATTAATAGTAAATTCCAGCTCCAATTTTCTTACTGCTTACACTCAGAGAGTAGACTTGAATATTCTGCCAACTCCATTACATCATCTGAAAACCCAAACATTTCCCATTTTCAAATCACTCTCCTCCACCAGGCAAACATGCTCTCTCTCTCTCTCTCTCTCTCTCTCTCTCTCTCTCTCTCTCTCTCTCTCTCTCTCTCTCTCTCTCTCTCTCTCTCACACACACACACACACACACACACACACACACACACACACACACACACACACACACACACGAAAGATTAGTACCCCTGAGAAGCACAGGCTCCATCTGAGGTTAAAGTCTGCAAATGCACACAATTTCTGGAAGCTTTTACTACTGCTGTGTTAGCTACAAGGATGCCTCCATCTCTGACCTTCCTTTTTCCATTCAGACTGTTATATAACCTAGAGCCTGCGTGCAGTATGTGAGTTGGGTGTTTTGGTTTAAAAAAAAAAAGACAACCAAAAAATCCCCACTTTCTTTCCCCCCCTTTATTAAACACCATAATGGAAAAGATTAGAGATTGGAGAAGAAGGGGGGCAGGAGATCCTGGGGGGATGTGGGTCAGCAGGTTAGCAGTGTCAGAACCCAACTGCTGCCTCAGCCCTATGATTCTGGGGACAGCTCAGCCCCTGGTCTCTTTTAGCAGTGAAAGAGGGGGCCGACTGCCCGGGCGTTATGTAATTTGCAAGAACAGCAAGTTACCCAATTGCTAGTCAGTTCTGCTGCCTGCCACCCCATCCTCCTCCTGCAAGAACACCTTCTGGCGAGGATGACACCTGAAGATGCTAGCAGCAAAGGGGGTTGGGAGTGGGGAGGGGAGAGCCAAGGAAAGGGGAAAGAGGAAAGGGGCGGGGGCTAGTTCAGGGCCGGAAAGTATCAGAGCTTTCTAAATACTATAACTGCTAGTGCTTCTTCCAAAAAAAAAAAGTCTCCGAAACACATGAAGGGAATTTTCTCCAGTGTTTCTGATTAACCCTGTTACATAACCGGCTCGCATTCCAAATCCACCGTCTCAGGGTCTAAATATACTCTTTGCAGCCAAAAGCCTTCTGCACTCAAACTCACCCAGCGGCTGGCACGAGCCCCCGAGCCTCCGATCCCTAACACCCCCACTCCCAGCCACCTCCCCTACCCCGGACTGTCCCCTTCCCCACCCAAGCTGCTGCTGTTCGCCGCGGTCACTCTTCGGAAATTGCCTTTAATTAAATGTTTTTTCGCATGTGTCATCTTCATGGCTTTTACTGTACTTGGATTCCGTGAATGGGAAGACGCCTGGACTGGGGGGTGGGGAGGTGTGGCCAAAGTGGGGTAGGGGTGGGGGTGGGATACTGTAAAACAGCCAACACATGATCAGCCATATTTCTCCCACGAACTAAAACAGAGAGCAAAGGGGGTGGGGACGCAGCCTGGCCCCCTCTCTGCGCTCTTCCTGATCCCGGACAGGGACTGGGAAAAGGGACCACGGAGTGCAGGATCAGGGCCGCTGTAGGATTCTGGCGCCCAAGCCCCGGGGGTTTGAAGGCCCCCGCCCCCCACGCAGGCTCGCTTCCTCCTGAATGACAGGCGTGATTTATCAATTATTTACGACAGTAATTAAAACCGCAGCTTCCCTCTCTTCTTTGCAAACTCTAGGCACATTCAGATAAATACATTCCCTAATCCACCACTACCCCCCCAATCCCCAGCCCAAGTACAACAAACCAGCAGCCAGGTTTGGCTACCAGTCTCTCAGGCAGAGGGAGGGGAGTGCGCTCCCCTAGCCCCTCTTCACTCCACTTAGCAACCTTAGGGGGATAGGGGATGGAGGAGTCGCAGAGGAGGGGGTTGACGGGTCTCGCCGAGAACATCAAAATAAAATTCAAGAAGCACCCTGATCTGGGGGTGGGGGGGTGTTGTGGGAGTGCTGATCTCAACATCCAACCAGCTTTCAACTTACACTGACCATCCCCAGGCTCTGGCGGAAACACTCCATGAACCGCGGGGAGGGAGACAATTTTCTAAGCAGAAATAAGTTTGGATTTCTCTCTCCCCCTCCCCCTTTCTTAACGTTGGATTTTTTTTAATGCCATCTCCTAAGAAGAGGGACTCACACTCTCACTCATACACTCACACACACACACACACACACACACACACACACAAACGTGCGCACACACAAACGCACACGCACTCCATCCCGGGGCGGGGGAGTTGGGCTACCCTGGTTCTTTAAACTTGCGTATACACTATGGCAGTTGCCTGCTCAACAAATTTGTGGGAATGTTTCTCGTGCTATCTCCCACCCTCCACTCACACACGCACCCCCCCAACATACACGCCATCCCCGAAGTTAAAAAAAAATCCACTGACAAGCGTCTCAAAGTGAAGACACGCACCCAGACCTCGGCAATCTCCCCAGCCCCCAGACTTCACGGATCATTGACTTCGCCCCCTCACCCCCCACCAAAGAAACCCCAACCCACATAGCCTGGAAAGATGAAAACTTGTCAAGAAGAAACAAGGAGTTAAAGGGAAGGGGACCGGGGTGACAATAATTTTTTTTTCTTTTTAAAAAGGACACTGCCACTTTAAAAGTTTCTTTCGGTCCCTGGTCCCCACACTCCTCTTCAAAAAAATTTTTTTTTGTAACGTATTTAATTTCGGCAACGCAGTTTTCCTTCTCTTTGCAGAAATAATACATACATATACACATTTATACATAAATACACAAACCCTGGGATAGCCTGCTAGCTGTCAACCCTGCCGCTCCCCACTCCTCAGCTGCCCACCTCCTCCTGCAACGGTGGAACGTGCTGCAAAAGTTTGCAACATTTGTGGGGGGCGCGGGGGGGCGGGCAGTGGGGTGCCCCGACGTCGGAGTACTGCTGCCAGCTCCCGGGCTGCCTGTGCCCTGCAGCCTGACCCTCCCCCCCAGCCCATGCCCCCGGCTTCCTGGGCCATCCCTGTGCTGTCCTCCCCCCATCACCCCTCACTCTTCTCTCACCCCCCCCCTTATCCCTCTCTCTCCAGCCTCCCTACCTCTGCTGGTGCTGGAATAGCTCTGTCTGCGCACTGGAGCCGGCGGCTCGCTTTTCCGGGCGGATTCTTGGTTCAGCGGGGTCTCCCTGGAGCCGGCGGCCGCTTCGGAGCCGCTGCTGCCCGGCTCACTGGCGGCTGGGTCGGGGGCTGCGGGAGCTGACTCCATGTTTTTTCCCAATGTAGAGATCGCTGGAGATGGCGAGCTCCGAGACTCCCTCTATCTTCTGTTTTCAGTGCAACTCTATGGTACCAAAAAAAAAAAAAAAAAAGGAGACAGGGAATGAGAGGGAGAGGGAGAGAAGAGAGCTAGAGCGAGAGAGCGGGTGTGTGTGTGTGTGTGTGTGTGTGTGTGTGTCTGTGTGTGTGTGTGTCTGTGTGTATGTGTGTGTGTGTGTGTGTGTGTCTGTGTGTCTGTGTGTGTGTGTCTGTGTGTGTGTGTGTGTCTGTGTGTGCGCGCTGGAGATGGGACTGAAAACAGATTTGACCACAGGCAGCGCTAGCGAGAACTTCTCCATCCATCCCCCACACTCCACATACCCCACCCTCTGCACCCCAGACACAGAGCCATAAACCGGCTGCAAATTTTGGGGAGGTGAGAGAATGAAAGGGGCTAATAGGGGGAAATAGTTTTCCCCTCCTCCCGCAATCAAATTATAATTGACAAGATGGTTCTGTGAGTGCTTCTGAGAGTCTCTCAGGAACACAACTCAGTCCCCATCTCCTTCCAGCCTGAGACCCTAGAAAGAGCAAAAGTCCGATGATCCCAAGTGGAGAAGTTGGCAGAAAGGGTTTTTGTTGTGTCCCAGGCCAAGAGAAGAATGAAAAGGGCTTCAGGACCGGGATGACACTCAGAGCAACGTTGGGAATTCGAGGAGGTGGCCCTCTTTAGTTTCAGATTGGACTGTATTGGGGGATGGGGCAGGCACTGGGTTTTCAGTGTTGCCTAGATCAGACCCCAATAAGTGGTATGCTTTGTTGAACTCAAACTATTTTCTGGCCCAGCAGAAAGAGGCCACCTTTCCTTTGTAGTCATGATGTGGACGGCCCAAAGCATGTCCTCACCTTTTTCTGTATTTTTTTTAATAGGCCCATTCATACAGAGAAAACTTTTACCTGCTTGGTAAATGGCAATATCAAGAAATACCAGAGCATAAGTAATGAAATACAAGAAGCTGTTAATTGTCAACTCCCTCCAGACCTTTTGTTATTAAATGAAAACTCTCAGCCATAAAATATAAACCTCTAAGAGAGATGTTTAACAACAACTACAATTTAACAACTGTATTTAGTGATTTGTACCCGTAGTATCTTTTATTAGAATGTAAGCTCCCTGAAGGCAGGGACAATTTCACTTTTTCTTTATATCCTCAACACTTTGCATAGGGCTAGGCTCTTGGTAAGTGCTTAATAAATGCTTATCGATTGACTAAATGAAGAATATGCCTGATAATTGCTGAAGTGATTCCCTTTCTTCTGGCTACCTGGTTTATACTAGCAAATACACTAGACAAAGTGAAGAGTACCCCCAAACACCATCTCGGAGGAAGAGGGTGGGATGGGCTTGGGAAACCTGAAAGATTTAGATCATCCCTCCAAGATAAAAGTTCAACCCACCCTTTCACTTAACCACTGAAGAAAATGACCTAAGCCTTTCACTAATTATCATTAAATATATATATATATATATATTCCTACTCACTTCACCCCTCCCCACTTTCCCTCTAAAAGCCCAGAGTTTGTTAATTTAAAAAAATCATTAAGATCCTTCACATCACCTGAGTTTGAACCTGATTCACAAGCTATATGACTCTGGGCCAGGCACTTAACCTCTTTCTCAATCTCAGTTCCCTCATCTGTAAAATGGAGATAGTGAGAGCACTCACCTCACAGAATTGCAGAGATTCAAATAAGTTGTGCAAAGTGCTTTGAAAATCTTAAAATGTGCATAAATGTTTGCTGTTATTATTATGCTCATCAACATCTCACTGTTATATAATATAAAATGGTATGAATGGGAGGAGGTAGAGGAAAGGTTGGGAAACATATTCCCCACCCCCTCTGATTTCCTGGTGTGAGGACATTCTAAAAAATGGGGGAAAAAATTCAGTTAGATAATAGACTAAGAGCAACTTCCATATGCCAAACTTCACACATGGTTTCTGTTACTGATATTGGTTGAATTTCAAATACACAATGCTGTTTGCCTTGTGCTGTGTGTTAACCAGCAAAACTTATGCTCTGATCTTTTCCAGTGTGATGTAAATAAAATGTGAAAGTTCTAATACTGAAATCCAGTCTCTACAAGGATACAGTACTCCAAACAGTCTGTTAGCACCTAAAAATGATGCCAGTGATTTTGCACTTTATTCCCAAATCATGTCTGTGGTTTTCCCAAAGCAAACAAAGCATAGATCTCCAGAGGGGTCTTCAAAATGATTTACAGTTGGTTATTCAGTTAGTGTCCTTGATGCAATTTTCACAGTTAGTCACACTTGGATTTTTTTGTGTAAACAAATATATCAGTATTTCTTATATAATAATAAAGACTTCCTCTGGTCTAGTATGCATTTAAAATGTATTTGACATTGCCCAGTCTTTTATTTAAGGCTTTAAAAATATGAATGCTAAATTATTTTCAATTTTATGGTGCTCAGTTTCACAAATAACAATTTTGTTTGCAAGTGTATTTTTGTTGGTTCTCTGCCTTTTTCATTGATCGGTTTGATGACTTTTTTCACTATGATAATAATATAATAAATCTGTCCTCATGTCCTTGATTCCCACCTTCGCTGTCCTCCTTTTAATGCTCTGGTGTCTGGTAACCATGGCAGGTTACCACTCCTAGTATGGACTTGGCGACCTTAATAATTTAGGATAGATTCCGAATTCCCTCCAGGAATAGATTCTGGCTAGGAATAAGCCATTTCTCCTAACTCTCTAAGACAATTACTGGCTTCTGCAATTTAAAACAATTGGGAACTCAAGTGCCTTCCCCAAGGGAAAAATAAAACTGAGATAGATATATTCCTTGGCTGTCAATCACTGTTACTAAAGTGTAAGTTACCAGGTTTGGCAAAGTATTTTAAATCTGGGGGGAAAAAAACCACAGTGATTAAGTTTAAATGTTTCTTTCTTACCCCTTTGCCATTTTCCTGATTTCTGTTGTGGGTTTCAAGATTTTATAACATTTGGTTGGGTGGGGTTCTTGTCTTAGTTATTTAGTGAGTGACCAAAGGCATTAAATTTGCTGTAAAATGATCTCGTTTTGTGTCCTTCTGTTGTCTCAGAGACACACAGATTTAGAAAACCTTTTCTTGATAGACTCCTGAAAGATAATCATCCATTATCTACCTACCTATCTATCATCTGTCTCTCTATCTACTTAGATACATACAAACAAACAGGCATGCATGCATGCACATACACACAGACTCCATTGTAGGGTCAGAAAGGGAATCCAAGTATTTTGTCTTCCAATCATTCAAAATGACTCCTGGGAGAGATTATTTGACATTAAGAGTTATTAAACTTCTGGATGCAAATATAGAGAGAGATATGTATGCATATGTATGTATGTATACATACACACACGTGTGTGTTTTTTTTAAAGTTATTTTCCTCGCATTATTAAAGAGGAAAGGGGGAGAGAAGGAAGGTGATGGAAATGTACAATATTTCTTTGGAATAATGGAGCCTTCTACAATGTGCCCAAGAACAAAGAAAAAGAGAAAATTAAAACCAAGTCCCCAGACAACAAGTTTCCTCTCTTTCAAGAGAGCTGAGAGCAGCTGAAGCCAGGCCATATGCTGAATCCAGAGCACAAATAAAAATGCAACACCGCCCTCAGGCTCTGGAGTTGCTTGGTTTTACTGCAGGATTTGCAGCCAGCAGCAGCACCCAAACAACAAATTCAGAGGAGCCCTCTATAAATAGAGTGAGAGAAGAAGGCGCAAGTACACCTGAAATTTCAACTTCATAGTAAATGCAGGGGGCATACTTGACTCTACAACAGTAGCCAAGACTAGGTCAATGCCTAGACAGAAAGAGAAGGGAACAAGCATTTGCTAAGTGCCTCCTAGGCGCTATCTTCTTTACAACTATTATCTCATTTGATCCTCACAGCAAAACCTGGAAGTAGGCGCTATTATTATCCTCATTTTACAAAAGGAGAAACTGAGGCAGATAACCGTTTAAGTGATTTGCTTAGGATTGAACAACTAGTGAGTGTCTGAGGCCAGACTTGAAATCAGCTCTTCCTAACTCCAGGCCCAATCCTCTATCCACTATAACACCTAACTGCCCAGGGCTCAGCCAACGTCTTTGGTATCAATAAGGCTCATTCAGTTTGATTCCATTCAACAAATACTTATGAAGTACCTGCTATGTGTCTTTCAAAAGCAGTTTTGCATTTAACACTAGGCTAACTAAGGGAGTTACTAAGACTATGTTTCTTGACTTGTTGTGCAGAGGAAAAGGGATTGGAAGTGGAGTCAGAGAACCTTGATCTGAATCCTGCCTTTGCTTCACTTAATGATTTATGGCCTTGGGCAAGTCATTTCTGATATCTGGACCTGAGCTTCTCCTTCTATAAAATGATCAAATGATCTCTCCATTTCCTTCCATCTCTAAACCTTATGAATGTGTGACCTTATGGTATTAATAGGAAAGAACTCCCTTTCTTACTCATGGAATGGCATGGAATAATCCTATTCTGCCCAAGGGGTAAAAGACCACAGTGGGGAAACTGTTTAGGAGTGGCTTAAGCAAAAATAACCTTTTATTTTTTAAACCCTTGGAGACAGCAAATCTTCTATTTGATGTCCTCTGAAATCCAGGCTGTATACATCGAGAAGAGAAATAAAGAGATGGAAACGCTTCAAGCCCATTTCTTGAATTGGCTCACTTTTGATAATTGATATCACTCAAATGTCAGACAAACAGCACTGCATTTAGGGACCAAGCTTAGTGGAGCAAGAAGCATCAAACTCTGTCCAAACTCTGATGAAGCGAGGCTCCCTCTGCCTCTGTGTGCTTCATGTTACAGTGGAACTGTGCTACTCAACATTCATCAAATGCACTCCCTTGCTACCAAATGCTATCAATGTTCCCTGCTGCCACCTCACTATGGCCAATTTTTGTGCATCCTTCAAGGCCAAGTTCAAATGTCTCCTCTGTAAATCCTTTCTTGATTCAGAATCTCTGAATTCAGGGAACTCTTTGTTGGTACCTTTCAGTGCATTTTCATATTCTACCTTGTTATTTTTCTCT